CCCACGCACACCCGCCGGGCGCAGCGAACCCAGGAAGGCGCGGGGACCCGAGCCTCAGCCCGGCAGCCGCCAGCGGGAGGGCGGCCGGATGCCCCTCTCCCGGGAGATGACTGGATCAACCGGTTTTAGGAGAATAGCCGCGCCAGTCCCTGTCCCCCGGAGAGGGGGCGGGGGAGGGGGAGAAGGGGTGCCTATCTAAAACGTGGAAGGGGCTGAGTGTCGCACCCTGCGGACCCCAGCAGAGCCCCGGCGCTCCCCCAGGCCGGGCGCTGACCCGCCCCCCTCCCCCCAGCTCCGCGGGGACGGCTGGGGACCTGCGCAAAGTCTGCTGCGCCGAGCTCGGGTCACACGATCCGACCTGCCGGGGCTACGGGTCCGTCCCCAGCGATGTCGGTCTCCGCTCCCCAAAGGGGCTCAGCTCCCCAGGGCAGCCACCGGGGGGACCTCCGGCCACCTCCGCACTGACCTTCATATGAAGTCGCCCAGAGATGCTGCGGGGCGGCGTCGGAGCTGCGGCCGCACGTGGCACCCAGCGGAGCACCGCGAGCAGAGCCCCAGCCCGAGCCCCGCGCGCCGCACCTTTATCTCCTCCGCGCTCCAACCCGCCCCCAGCGCACCAATCCCTTTCTGCAGCCACAGACACCCGATTTCCGCGCCGGGTCGCCTGGGGCTTGGGGAGGTGGGACGCGCCGGTGGAGACGGCTACCCTCCCGCTGCGGGCCCCCGCTGGTTCCCGGCCGCGCGCGCCCCACGCCGGCCTCTGCCTGGGACCCACCTCCTGGAGAATTTAGGGACCGTGAGCCGTGCGGTCGAGTCCCGCGCGCAGCGGCCCCGCAGCGGCGCTGCCAGCCTGCCCGTGGGCCCCGTGAGGGTGGGGGCAGCTTTGAGAGCGCCTTCCCCTCAACGGAAACCCGCCCTCCGCAGCCCGCGGAGCCCCCGCGCGGGCTGGCACTTAGTGGCTCCGCGGTGGACCTGGAAAGATTGCGGACTCAGAAGAGAAAGCTGGAAAAATGACAGAGGAAACAGCCCGGGACGGGAGTCAGAGGGCCGGGCACGGAGAGAACCTGAGCGAGCGACTTCTTAGTTCCCCACGTCGGGAAGGTCGCTGTCAAATCGCCCTCCAAAGCCACGGAGCAGCCGAGTGCGCAGCGCCTGGGAGCCGGTTAGAAACGCAGATTTGAGGCCCCGCCCCAGGCCCGTGAGTCGGAGGCTCCCGGGCGAGGCCCAGCGCGGGGTTTGCACAAGCCCCGCAGGCGACGCTGACACGCGTGAAGTTTGGGGAGCCCGAGCTAGGCTCCCAAACTTGTTTCTCAGTGTTTGAACCTCCCAACGCCCAGGCTGCACTTAAGACCTAATAAATCAGAATGTAGTTGCGGGGGGACGGGGACATGGGGGAGCCCAGGCAGAGGAATATTTTAATGCTCCTCAAGGGATCCCAATGTGCTGTTAAGGCTGAGAACCACCCATCTCCCCTGGGGGCCTGGTCCCTGAACAAAGCAGCCCTCACTCAGATCTACTGAAGACTCTCGCAAGAGTCCCATTTGTTTAGTTACTTTCCCAAACTACTTTCTGCAAAGATTGTATTCTTTGTCATGTGTAGTCACTGAGATCTTTATTCTTTCAGCTTATGTTCTCCTAATGTTTTGGCAGAGATTTTTTTTTTTTTTGAATGCCAGGAGCTTACAAAAATAACTTAAAAAAGCAAACACTTTTTCTCTTCCAACCTTTGAAGGTCAGTTCTGTGTTGGGGCCTTCCTTCAGCACCTCCTTGCACCGAATCTAGGGATCATTCGTAAGTGAAAAGTCGGGTTTTCTCAACTTTTCTACACAAGCATCTTAACCTACGCATGTATGTGGCCTTCTAAATTACTTAATACACACAATTTTTTTTTTAATGTCCTAATTTCCCCAAGAATCTCCCTCAGCTTTTCCTCCCAGGCTTTAGCTATCTTGACTATACTACTTTTGTCCCAGGTATTTATAATTTGTTAGTTCTCCACACAGAATTTTTGATCAAAACACTGTCTTTCCAGCCTGAGCTCTGAGTTAGGCAAAACAGAGATGAACACCTTCCGTCAGTCCTTTAGGTAGCTCCTAGACAGTTTACAACAGACATAAGTAATAATTTTTTACTGTTTATTTCACTCCCCTCAGAACCAGACCCCAGGATCCCACAATGGTAACAGGCTGACACTGTTTCGAGACTGGCACTCTGCTGGAGGGAGGGCATAGGACAGTAGCAGGTAAAAATCCCACAAAAAGTTTTCTTTTAATTTATTTAGCATTTGCTTCATTGCTGTAAACCTTTGACTATTTTCCAGAATTCTGACAAACTTGCTTCTGAAGTTTGGTTTTTCAGTTTCTGTGTGGGGATAAGAGACTGAATCTGCCTACTACATCAATTTGCTGTTGTTACCCTATATGCTTTTTAAATGGCTTACTTTTTCCTGAACTTTACAGTTTAAAAATTTAAAAGGAAGTGTATTAATCTCACATTGTTTTATTTTAAATTTTAAGTGAAGAAAATATAATAAAATTTACCATCTTAATTATTTTTAAGTGTACAGTTGAGTATTGTTATGTTCCCATTGTTGTGAACATGTTTAACAATACTGAAATTTTTCATCTTGTAAAACTGAAACTCTATACCCATTTTACAACTCCCTATTTTTCTTTACCCTAAGCCTCTGGCAACCACCATTTTACTTTTTGTTCCTACAAATTTGACTGCTTTTGATATTTTGTATAAATGAAATCCTATAGTGTTTGTCTTTTGTGACTGGCTTAGTTCACTTAGCACAATTTCTTCAAAGTTCATCCATGTTGTAGCAGGAATTCCTTCTTTTTTAAGATTGAATAATATACTAAAGCAGAGGCAGAGGGAGAACACTACACACCAGTCTGACTCACTAAGATGACAGTGCCATGTTCAACAAGAGTGTTTCTGGGTTCAGTAAACCAAGATTGACAAAGCAGCCAACTCAAGATGAATGATTCCAGTTTTAGGATATAAGTGAACTTATCACTTAGGGAAGGGACATTATACATAATATTAAAATGTTACACAGACTTATGAGAGTTCAGTATTTTCCCCGAAGACTATATATAGATAGGTTCACAATATAGAAACCTGTACATAACAGCACTCTGAGGTTTTTATCAAAGCATACATTATAGACACATTTGCCATATAGTGCAATTTTATTGTGAGACATGAATAGTGCACTTAATTCCAAGAGTCACATTCAAATATATCAAGAGTACAATTCAAATACCCGCTATTGAAGAAATACATATACTTTTTTAAAATAACTAAGTTGTGCAAGTACATCTTTAGTATAGATGGTGATAGAGTTATAAGGATTCTAAATAACAGAACTCAGGGTATATTTTGTAGAATAATCCACCTCTCCAAAGATATGTGCATTTTAAAAGCAAAACAAATGTCTTGGGCAGACAGACAGACACAGGCAGTGTTGCACAACTTGTTTTTATTACAAATCACAAATACAGTTCATCTGTATACTCACAGGGTGGTTAACCAGAATAGCTCTACAAGTCAGTAAGCTCTCATCAGGAATTATGTTTTCAGGACAAAGTAGTGTCTACAGTGAGCCCCACTATCTTTCACTAAATTAAGCACAAACTAGAGTTCCACACTGTCGTTTAAAAATAGGACACTGGGTTTCTTAGAGGGAATTTAGATAACAAGTCCAAGATTTTCTAAAACCTAGTCATACGAGTTTCAGAGGTTCTCTTCTGGGCTGTTGGCTTAAAGGAAGAAGATGCTGTGGACACTAGGTTATAAAGACTGAATAAAGGTAAAAGCAGCTTTATTCAGTAAAATAAAAATTAGAAAACTGATATTGTAAGACAATTAGCATTTCTTATCATCTGAGAATAAATAATAATGGTGAAATCAGTCTTTTAATGTTCTTTGTTAAGATGGTGATTTACATAAAAACACTACCTGGTAATAACTTAGGATATCAGCTCTGGGAGGGAGGAAAGATCGAACATGTTAAAGAATAAGAAATAGCTCATCTATATTGTCTTGAGGTATAACATGAACCTATATCAGCTATACTGAATGACTTCATTCTCTGGTAAATTTCATAGCTGCCAGAACAGAGGATCAACTGTTCTAAAAATTGCTTGTTTTTGGTCCAAGAAATAAGTTTCTGATCAAGAGTGCTCATAACACCTCATACACTTTTCATTCATTAAATCTGGATATGGGTAAATACCGAAACTTTTGTTTCAGGTTATAACAAATGAACCTGATAACCCAGTTAATACTGACAACTGAAACAGCTAATCCAGACACCAGATTAACTACATGAGTGATATCTTTAAGCAGGTTTTTAAAACGCAGCAAAATGTCCTATTTTTCATGTCAAGAGACAACTACTGTTCAAATCTTTTCCATGATATTGATTTTTTATTTAATATAAACACTAACTGAATCAAAGACTGAAATCTCACTAAATTTCATCCTTTAAAATAAAAAGTGATGACATATCACTTCTGTCAATCAGCCTTCAGGGTTCAAAGGAAAGTTTTAAAATTCCCCAATGGGATCTGAGATGACTGTCTACAGTCTCCTCAAGCTTTTCTAAAAATCACTTCAAAACCTTGCTTCAAAGGCCTAATTTTTCTTAGAAATAAAAACTATTTGTAGGTTTAAACCTGTTAGATTTTACAATTTCTGCTTTTCTTCCCATTAAATAAAATCAAAATAAAAAATTTTGACCAGACAATTACCGAAAAGTCTCACCACTGAAAGTTTCGGCATTTTTATATTATCAACCATGTTCTTCTGATTTTTAAAAAAGTCATTAATTTAAATCTAAAAATCTTTGTATTGCTGATAAGAGGATTATAGCAATCCTTTGTATTTTTAAGATATTCTTTGTGGGACATACGTTTTGCATCCCCAAAATGTAAACCAGCAGCCTTCACTATAAATGAATATGGAAGATGCCTAGTATACAAGAACTTGAATTATTTCCCTTGATTGTTGTTACTGACTCCTATGAGGCAATTTGCTTGCTCACTAATTCTGTCACCATTCTCTTAAAGATTTTAAAGCCACATTTATCAAAGACAATTGTCCAAACTTAATGTTTAACAAGTATCTTCTCAGGAGTATATCCACTGTATGTATTCTTCTCATCCAACAGATGGGTAACTTATAGTATTACTAAAAACCCTCTCGCTATATTGACAATGCACTTGCTTTTGACAGAGTTCTCGAGTTTGGGAAACCTAAATATCGACATGATTAGATGACCCCTCTGAAAGTGCATTGACACCAAAGTTTGTTTTTACAGGCTGTAGTCAGAAGTGTGGTCTGGACAATCTGTAATTACAAATTAATACTACAATGCAAACTTGTCCAAACAGCCTAAGATTTCTGTCTCAATAAAAGAAATAAAAAGAAACTGAAACACTATGCTACTGTACTCTGGCTCACACATAAAATGTGCATCAGGAAGACAGGTATAAATTGATGGCATACAATTTCTCCATGACCAAACCTGATAAAAATTCCCTCCAAAGTTTAAACCCACAGAAGTTCTATGGCCAATCAATATCACTAGTGGGGGCGTCACTTTTAAAGAATTACTAAAAAATAAATAAATCTCTAGAGGTTTTCCTTATGCGTCCATTAACAGAGAAAAAAGGGTTCCTTATTCATATCTAGTCTTGAGACAAAATTAAGAAAACAGAAAGGTCAGCTGCCTGGACAAAGCAGCAAGCAATTCTGAGGGGCCATGAAAAAGCTAGTGTGTTTCCTCTTTTTAAAAATATAAAGGTTTCACACAACACAGAGATATCCATTGCAGGATAGTACATCTCCTTCACGCCTTGCCTTAGCCTTCTGGTGAGGGCTTTCATGCCCCGAGATTCATAACTATAGCCAAGAAAATAAGTCGAGAATAAAACTGAGCTTATAGGAGAAGGCAGGCACATTTACCAGAGAGAGTTCTATGAACTGTTGTCCAGCCTTTTGCTACAAGTCTGAGGAGACAGAAAAAAGATAACTGGAGATAGAAAGAACTTGCCACTTTCTAAAGTTTCTGAATGTGGCCAGAGATTTTGAGAGTCGATTTTTAAAAATTATACTTTTAGCTCAATACATAGCTATAGAGCAGGGTTCAGTTTTGGTATGTTTTATACTGCAATGGTTATATACAGATGGGGTAGAAATGGTATTAATGATTACTTTTCAACTATCCTTTTAAAGGATAATTGGAATTGATAGCATTTGTTAAAATAAGCAATTCCACAAAACAGAAATGTACATGAAAAGCACTGAACTGCAAACTTTTAGAGTTGTAGGCATGAACTAGCATTGCATAAATAGTCATCACTGTTTCTATAACATTGAAACATTTCAAATCTGAAGTTTAAATCATAGCTGTATCATGTTCATAAACTTTTACCTCCACTGAAATTATATTTGCCTAACATATAATGGAAAAATCAGCAGAGTCCAGGTAAATTTTCAAAAGGCTCAAACCACCATGAACATTGTAACCTCAGTATTAGTAAACTCCTAGAATACTTAAAAATAAAACAAAACACAATAAAACATACACATACATACATAAACCAGTGCAATAAGAATGTCAGACAAGGGCAGTGCATCTCTGGTTTAAGGAAACCATATTTGTAGCTTAATCATAACAAATTAACATCTATTATAAATGATGGTTTAATGTTACATCTAGCATCTGATACATATTTAATATGTATGGTAAAAAACCTGAAAAACCAATTCAACAGTAACAATACCATATCAGTAACAAATTCCTACTTTCTATATTGCACATACTTTTACTGTCTACTGTTAAGTTTACTTCTTAAGGTAAATATCAGAGGGCTATACCTGTTGCCCTTATAAAAATAATTTACCTTGAATAAATATTCAGAATTTCCTTTCTTGACAAACCAGAGTGAGACGGAATTCAGCTTTTGTTAGTCCAAAACTATTTTAAAGAGAATGGCAAAGGTATTGGAAATGGCATATTAAACATAAAATTCTTGGTTTATCCACCATTTCAGTTTTGAAAAATATTTCTATATTCAAAGTGTTTAAACATCTGATCTTTTTTTTTAAACTAACATCCCCTAAAGAGATTAATCATATCCTTGACTGGTCTGAAGCATTGTTTGAAAGTGGACACAGAAAAAATTATAATGAAATGGCATATAACACAAATGGCATTACAGAGGTCACCTGGTTCATATAAAATAAAATGACTAGCACCTCCTTCCTGCTCCCAAAGTAAAGAGGCCTAAGAGGCCATGTGAAACATAAATAATTATAGTGAGTTTCATTCATAAAGTACTGAGAAATCCATTAGATCAGAGGGTTCTCACATTTAAAGCCTGAAGTTCAAGGCTACTGTGTAAAAGTGAGCTGAAGGGCAAAAGGAGAGAGAGGTGGGATACGGGTGCGGGAAGGTTCATACACAGGTGTGGGGACATCTTTCAGGGACTCTCCTGCATCCCATCCTCAGTCTCCAGTTCCGCCAACTGCCTCCTAAGGAGATTTACTTTTGCTTGTAAGTTCTTATTATATTCAATGATGTTAACCATTTCTTCATATGCTTCATCCAAATACTTGGAGGATCTGTTCCAACGTAGGAAAATACCTATCGAATCCAGGAAAGGAAAACAGAAAGGGGAAAGATATATACAATGGATTAACATTAAAGGTGTGGGTAATATATAATTCCATGTATCTTTTTTTACAATTCACATCTGTTTTATTATCTCTAGAATTATTGAATTTCGAGTTCCACCTGTGGTTGCCTTAGCAGGGCCAGATGTTCCCCATCCCTAGTCTACAACAATCGAGAGTAAAGCAAGCAAAGAGAAGTTCTGAGCAGCTCCAAATTCCCAAAGTACTAATGCTCAGAATCAGAGAACCCTGAGACTATCTGAGGCCATTTTCCCACAATTCTGACCAGGTGACACCTCAAAAGATAAGATGAGAGGCATAGACTGAGGGTGAAAGCAGCAGCTATTGACAGATGTGCCAAGAGCAACAAGCTGAGAGAGCAAAGCAATCTGAGATCCTTTTACACATAAAGGGCAAACAGCTTTCCACACATGAATTTTCCTTGAGGGCATAACATATCAGAACACAGTAAGATAACTGACATTTATAAAATTCAGTTCAATTTACCAAACAGCTACCATCAATGTGTGTAAGCAGGATGCTGTTTACTACAAAGATGAATAAAGATGTACTTACTACCTTCAAAATGATTAAAAAGAAATTAAATGGTACTTTATAGTCTTTCTTTAATGGCTAATGTATTTTAGATAAATTTTGGCTATTTTTTAAAAAAAGCAGGCTTTGTTATTTAAGGAGATGAGCCTCAGGAGTCTGAAAAATTAATGTAGGTGAAACACTTTCTTCAGAATAGATTTGAAAATTAAGCATGGGTTACTGTTCCACATGATATGCAGATCCCTGCATTACTGCATTGATGGGTGGCATCTGTGTACATCTGTAGACCATAATTAGAATGGCTAGCTCATTAACCCTTCAGTAGCACTTAACAAAAGAACTATCCTAATGACTGCTTAATAAAGGAAACAGAAACCATCTCCTAGGAGCTTACAATCTAGTCCTGTCCCAACTACCTACCAACTTTCTTACACAAAAAGTAACGTGTAAGGATAGCCACTACCAAAGGCCGTGGGAGGGAACTCAACAAGAAAATAACTCTTGGCAAGGATGTGAAGAAATCGGAACCTTGTGCACTGTTGGTGGGATTGTAAAAAGGTGCAACTATATGAAATACAGTGTGAAGGTTCCTCAAAAAATATTGAGAGAAAAAACAGTTACACACAGGTCTGAGAGTCAGGTCTACCTTCCCATCTTCAAATATCAAAAACAGCATGGACTCACAGGCAGCTGAAAGAGCATCCTTGACTAATGATAAAATGTTTGTAAAGGACGCACGGCTTACCTTCCCAGAGCTGAAGACTCTGTGGAGCAACCGAAGGCCAGATGACAAGATTGTTGGCTTCAAAGAGAGGATTGGTGAATCTGCTCAGTTCACTGGGCCGATTGACCCAAGACCACAGAGACATCGTTTTCTGCTGTAGCTTCAACTTACATCTGACCAAGAAAAAAAATGCCATTAGAGCAGTTAATTTATAACACCCATTATCAATTGCTCTTCCTTATTAGGACAGTTTCTTCTCTCTGTATTTCAGAAGGCAGAATACAAGACTTTTAGTAGAGGAATAAAATGTTGTAAAATAAAAATATCTGTCAGAAAATTCAGCATTATAACTCTCAATAACAACAAAGAACTGTTTTACAGGCTTCCAAAACCAGCAAGAAGGGAAAAACTAGAATTTGGTCATGTCATACATGTCTTTTATTGTATCTGGGACTGTATTTTAACTTAAAATCACTAAATAGATTAAAAATAAATATGTATCTTGATATAAATCAGATTTAATCTACATTCATATACAATGAACAGTTTTCATGATAATCCCGAAATTCTTTAACGCTCTTTATCATGGAATAAACTTTTAGGGATGGAAAGTAAACTGGAACATTTTAGAAAAAATAAATTTTAACAAGAGTTGAAAGATAATTTGTGGTGAACCTTACATTAACCAAAAAGATAATACATTCAATTTTCATAGGATTCTGTTCAAGCTGAAGTTTTACTATAAAATTGGCTTTGTCTCTGAAACTACTTCATTACTTACACGTTTCATGAAAGTTAATTATGTGAATGCAAATATGTTAGTAATAAAAAGAATCCACATAATCACAGAACCCATGTGCTATTAGCATTTCATTGCTAGGATAGCAAGACCCATACCACGTCACCAGGAACCAGGCATGGTGAGGATAGGAAACCATTCACCCACTGCTCCCTCCAGCCCCTGCCCTCAAGCCCATGGCTAACTAATCACTGAACTTTGTTAGGCTGAGCCGGCCCCACACAGTTCCAGAATCCTCCTCAATCTGCACCACTGGTAATCTCTACCAAATGGGAAACAGAATATGAGATAAAGTCTACTTGTCATCCTTTTATTGAATGTAGGTCTGAGGGATACTAATAGGTACAAAACCAAAAAGAATCCATAGTCAAATGCATTATCTAAATGCTGAGTTACAGTTACATACAATGCTTTAACAGAGAAAGGCTGGAACAGGAGTAGGAAGAACTGTACTATAACCCTACTTTTGCTGACCAGCTGGCTGTGTGCCCCTGGACAAGTAATTCAATTTATCTGCATATTATTTTCCTAAATCTATAAAACTGGATGGAGGGTGCAGTTAGATTATATGTTAAGGCTTCTTGCAGACAAAAGATACTATAATCCTATGTAATGAAATTATAATTTAAAATGGTTGCCCGATTTACTCAAAGCTTTTTAATCATTATGTGGACTAACTTTAATCTAACAGAACCAAGTCGTAGGATATGCTCTCACCTAGCATGTGACAGGCTCATAATAAAAATACACTTCATATAATTTATATAATTATAATTATATATATAATTATAATATATAATTATAATTATAATTTATAAAATTTACCACCTTATAAATAACATTCATGCAGAACCAAATCCTGCTCTTTTAGGAAGCAGCCAAAACAAGTTAAAATGAAATGGCCCCCATGTGAGTAGTGTACCCACCTTTCACTTTCATTGTTGCCCAGAAATGTTCCAAATTGTGAGGCATAAGCGTGCTCAAAGAGCATGATGAGGAAATTCTCATTAAATTCAAAAGAACAAGGGAACTGACGAAGTATCTGCCACACACAATCCAAGAAGAGAAGAAACACAGGCGACTCCCACTTCTGCTTACTATTACAATAGGCTGACTGTGCACAGCGCTGCTGGAACGGGTGGCCAGCCTACAAGAAAAGAGGGAACCGTGACAGATCCTATTGAGATCCCACATTCTATTAACAGTATTTCACATAGGTGCAATGAAACTTTTTTTTGATCAATTTTTTTTAAAATTCTCGCCTGAGGATATTTTTCCATTGGTTTTCAGAGAGAGTGGAAGGGAGAAAGAGAAACACTGATGTGAGAGAGACACATCAATTGGTTGCCTTCCACATGCACCCCAACCGGGCCGGGGACTGAGCCTGCAACAGAGGTATGTGCCCTTGGCCAGAATCGAACCCAGGACCCTTCAGTCCGTGGGCTGATGATCTATCCACTGAGCCAAATTGGCTAGGGCTGAAACTCTTTTTAAATGGAACATCATATAATTTTGATGACTGCTGCTTAGATGAATGATTTCTTGGTTTAAAACAATTTCCAAACACTTAACAAGACTGTGCAGTGAAGACATAAGCATAAGAATTGCAACTGTCTTTGGAATGTCAAATGGAAGAATACTGAACTTCAGTAATGATAAACTTATAAATCGTTCTACATCTGTGTAATTTGGAGCAAAATCAAAGAAAAGAAGTTCTTCGGGTACAAAACAAAGGTCAGCTTTCACCTTCTATCTATCCAAAGCATTGTAGACTATTGTAAGCTACATAAGCCTCACCACTAAATGGAGATAAATAAGGGGCTCTAATAGAGAGACTTTATAAGATCACTCCTGAGAGTAAGTCTTTAGTTACATATGGAAAAAAAGTTACTGTCATGAAGAGATCTTTAAGAACACCTTTACATTAGAGATAATGCTCTCCTTAGTTTCCCTCTTCTCCCAAAAAGAGATGGAAGAGTCTGCCATCTAATAACCAAAGGAAATTTAAGAATCATTGGGTTCTCTGGCCCACCCAGAACCTGAGTACCGACCTTATCCCAAATCACACCCTTCTACGTATTTCACAGACCTGAATATCTTTGGGTCCTTTTGTGTGACAAAGATAATTTTGATACCCATTAAGATGCTAATATATAAAGTACATCTTACTCATTTGTTTGCTCTGTATCATAAGGAATGTAGCTGAATAGATTTCCACCAGATATTTAGGATGGTCTGACTTAAAAAGAGATAAAACGTCACTTGTCAGGCAGGTACACGAAATAGCATTAACACATAATAAATCCAAATTGTAACTAGAAGAGCCAGAAATTTTCTCCTGAGATACTTCCATTTCCAAGGTGTATCTAAACATTTATTTTTAGTCACAATTGTTTACTAAGTTACACACTGTATATATATCATGAATTAATCTGACTTGGAGGATTTCAATCTATTTTGCGAGGCCTTTATTTTAGTTGTCATTCAGCCTTATGTGACGGCAGTGTTGTATATAAGGATAAACAGATAAATTGGGCAAGGTTCTCTGACCTCAAAGAAGTCACTTTATTTTGGTCTAGTTCAGGAAGCAAGGCACAAAGAAAATGGACCACTTTTATCTGTGGAGGTTAAGGTTCCAAAGACTTCATGAAAGCAGTGACAGCTGCATCTCAGAGGACAAGGATTCCACCTGCCTGGGGAAGACAGGATGGAGCCGAACTAGAGCAAAGGCAGAAAATCCTAAAAAGTACACACCTTGGAATTACAAACCCATACGCCCCCTTCCCCCTTGTTTATGTCTTTTTATCTCTAACAAGACTAAGCTCTGGAAGACAAGACTGTTTTACATTCTTTGTATTTCCTCTGTAGTTAACAAAGTACCATTAATAAGAGTTTAAGGGAATGAAGTGCCAAATGAGCAACATAAGCAGAGACATACAGAAATCCACAGGCAGTAAAGATTACAAACATCTATTGAGAGGAAGATACTGTACGTATAAATTCACTGACCCCCAGAAAATTAAACATAAAATTGAAACATTTTAATTAATCAAAATTTCAAACACTATAACTGCTCCCACAAACCAGGATCACAACATCGATAATTAGCTGTTTCTTTGCACACAAAATAGCTTTTCTCACCTGCAGCCACTCTCTTTCTATCAGGGCCTCAAAACCACGGATGGTCCTGCTTCTTGGTTCCAAGATGATCTGGGCCAGGGAGGTCACCTGAAGTGTGGAATCAGTTCCTTCTGTTCCATGAATCAATATGGATGCTCCTTCCCTGATAAGAAAATTCAGAGTACAAATGGGATACTCCCAACATGGTCAATCAAGTCTGCTAATGATAAACATTTACTGAGTACAAAGTCTTATGTATTCTGCACTATCCCATGGGGTTCAGAGTCTAAGGCACATTGAAGAGAATTTACCTTGGGAAAAAAGTAAAACTATACTGAGCCCCAAATTTCACATGGCAAGAATCCCTTTAAGTTATAATAAATTTCACTGACCCTTTTAGTGAAAAATGTCTCCCTTTACAAAAACAAAAAGCAGTCCTTACACACAGTAGGCACGGCTTCTGCTTTAATACTTGATTAAAGACTTTTCTCATCAAACCTAGAAACATACACTTAAAATTATTTTTCTGTATCTTTCTGATGGTAATTCTACCTTTTCACCATCAGCTGTAATGGATCTGGGAAACAAGTCTTGAACCACATTTTGAGAAACATGAAACAGGAAGAAACATTTAAAAAAATAAAACTGTCAATCTAGAAAGTCAGTGGCAATGATACCACGACACTTAGGAGGTGTCCGGGACCCCATTATTCTAAAGAGAGTGGGAAGAGCACCAAAATCTAAATTAACTACATCTTCCCTCTCTTTCTTCTACCTCTTATATTGAAATGACAGTGAAGAAAATTTTGGGGGAAAAAAAGAAAAAAGAATATAAGCTCACCACTTTCTCATAAAAAGTTTCATGCTTGGTTATCACTGTTAATTATCTTCCTATGTACAAATATACTTTACATAGCTATAAGGAAAAGTAATTTCTTATTATTTCCACATTTATTATAAATACTTTCCCATGTACTTATATATAAATTCCATGTAAATACCATCTTTAGAAGTACTGTATTAATGGTTATTAAATATTCTATTAAGTGATCAACTACAATTTACTTAATCCTATGGTTGGACTTAAGGCTACTGCCAATTTCTGTTACACTGTAGATGATGGACTTAGCTTTTTGTCTTTTGTTGAATTGAGTTCTTAATTTGAAAATAAGACTCCCTGATGTTCACTTATGGTTAACAACCTCATTCCTAGCATGAAATCTAATGTGTAGGCTGAAAAGGGTATGAGCAAATATTTTAAGGCTTCTGATATATATTGAATATATATCTTAGCTATCTGTGGGCATATTCTGAATTTAATTCAATTAATTTAAGGTCAATTTTTACATTTTCAGTAATTAATTATAAGAGTAGATTTTTATACAGGTACAAGCAATAAGCTAATATGTATCAGTAAAGGGAAACCACACATTGCAAAATAACCAAAACCTTCAACTTTCCTAGGGGTGTGGAGGTTCCTGTTTGTTTAAGGCGGCAGCTCAAACTAAACAAAGGTGGAGAGGACAAATACTGTTCTGCACCTAGACCTGCATCATCTCATTATTATGGCTGAAAACTTGGACAACATGGTGCTAACTGTCTATTACAATGCATGTTTCATAAGAAAACAGGAGCCTCTGCACTTATGTGAAAAAGGGTTAAAAAGGTTAAAAAGAAACTTAGGTTAAAAAGAAAGAAAGCCCTTAGCATTAGCATCTCACCATTGTTATTATTCATTTCCCTGCCGTATAACCTTGGCCTTTAACTCTCATATTTTATTAGATAAATGAACTTCACCTAAAATTATGAACAGTGACAGCCTGGGAATCCTGACTTCAAGAGTCTCTGCCCATTCTTGGCTCTGTGGATAACTTACCACCTGATTTTTAGCAATCCATTCTATGATCAATTTCTCACTAACGATAAGAATTACATATATATATAATTCCCTAATTTGGAAGCATCAGTAAAACAAATTAAGCTCTCAAAGAAAAGTGGCATCCACCTACGAGGTGGCAATACTTATACCTACCTATTGTTTCAGTGGGAATCCCCTTCTTAAAAAGGGCATGCTAAGCTTCTGCAACAACTTATACCAATCCTTCTGCCTCTGTTCAAGTCTTCTGCCTCAAGTCATTAGCAACCTTCAACTGAGTGAATAAACTAAAATCACTTCATATACTTTACATCTATCGTCAGCTTCTCTCAACTTGAGATCCTGACGTCACTGCACATATCAAGTAGTTTGTAATAAGATATCTGAGAGATTAGAAAGGATCATTTTACTGTGTAACAAAATTACATGCTTCCTTTTATTGACATTTCAAAAGTAAGAAGGCAAGCTTGGCCCTCTGAGAAGATATAAGAAAATTTTTCTTTCTCACCGTTTAAGAAAAGGAAAATAGGTAGATTAATAATTGAAGGGTTGTATAGAAAAAAATAGGTCTTTGTTACTTAAGAAACTTGTGTCATGAAAGACATGTATATGTACGATTCACAATTCATTCAACAAACATTAATCGTCAATTAAATGCCAAACTCTATGCACAAACTTCATCAATAACTGAATGCTGTTGACTATCTTATATAGTAGTTTATGTGATCTGAACATAAGATACAGAATAGGCCCCACCTTTAATGTGGAGGCATACTTTGTTTTACTGAGCTTCACTTTACTGCACTTTGCAGATATTGCATTTTTTTAGAAATTGAAGGTAAGACCCTCTCCCAGCAAAAAGATTACAACTCACTGAAGGCTCAGACGATGGTTAGCTTTTTTAAAGAATGAAGTATTTTTTAATAAAGGTATATACATTGTGGGTTTTTTAAAAGAATGCTATTACACAGTTAACAGACTACAGTAGAGATAAACATAACTTTTAAATGCATTGGGAAACCAAAAAATTCATGTGACTTGCTTTACTGAGATAGTATCTGCTTTACTGCAGTGCTTTGAAACCAAACCCATAATATCTCTGAGGTATATGTTAATATATAAACATACGTCTGGATAAAAGCAAAGTCTAGATAGCAGTGTGTGTCCCATTCTGGAGCACTGAAATGTACTTTACCTGTCGATACACTGCGCCACTAGACAGGCAGTTGTCAGAATCTCTTTGATGTGCGTCAGCCAGTTTGAAGACTCCAATTTACTGAGCCATCGGTCCATGTTATGTGTTTGGTCATTACAAGCTTCCACAAGTTTGATTAAGCTCTCCTGAAGAACGTGATACCTTCCAAACACAAGGAAAAGAAACAAGAACAAAAAAAGACAATGGAGGAAGAAACCAAATCAAAACAGCCTCCAATCAATCCAAGAGCAGAAGTACCTTAAAACTATAAAAATATTTACCCTGTTATGCAATAAAACTTGAGGATTAAATATTGAAAAACTAATACTTAAACATGTTTGCAAAGATGCTTAAAATGCCTGTCATGGTAAACTGTTCTTCATCTGAAGAGACTAAGCCCCAGTCGAAGAGCTGAATTATCTGACTGGGGAGAGAGGCAGAGCAGTGCATTTTGAGGTAGGTCAGAGACAGCCCCACTGACATCTGCAGTCCTACTCCCATGGACCACCTGGTACTTCAGCAGGGGTGCCCAAAGCCAGCTCTACTCCCACCCACATACCCAGAAGCACTTATAAACCACTAAATGCAAGCATAAAGAAGGGATGATCTAGGTGGAGGAAATGGTATGAGAATAGGTGGGTATGGGGGAAGTTAAATGTCTTGTCTTCTGACTTAGGAAAATATAGTTATCCATAGCCTATCTGTTTAAGTTTGGTGACCACTGATCTACAAGTAGAGGAGCAGACCTCGTGGTGATGAAATTTCAGAGCTGACTTGGAGAAACAGTGTTATTTGACTAAAGCTCACCTGTGGGCATCCAAGGTAAGTTTTCTGTTTATCTTACAAAACACAATGACAGGATAGTCAGTCAAGTTGGGCTCTAAGTTGATGTTTAGATTCCTTTGAAAACTTGTGATTTTTGAACAGCTAAGGGATCACCCACTCTATTTAGCTTCAAATAAGAGTCCATCACTGTCTCCAGATCTTTTACCTCTCAATGGACTTATGAATCCGCCTCCACTGGGGATAATGAGCTTCTTGTTCAAAGCCACCTCCTTTGGCTCTAGCTTGCTGAGCTACATTTAGAGATCGAGTATCAATGATGTAGCCACGCTTTCCTGCTCGGAGGGTAGCATTTATCAGCTTCTCATCTTCTTTGCACCGTCTCCCATTTGTGCCAGTCAGTGGCTGACCGCTTCGCATAATTACCTAGAATCACAATACAATTTAAAACATAAGCCCTGGTTGGGTAACTCAGATGGTTAGAGCATCTTTCCAATACACCAAGATCGAGGGGTTGATCCCCAGGGCACATATAAGAATCGGCATGGCTCAGGGGTTGAGCATCAACCTATGATCCAGGAGATCGAGATTTGATTCCCAGTCAGGGCACATGACTGGGTTGCGGGCTTGATCCCCAGTAGAGGGTGTGTAAGAGGCAGACGATCAGTGACTCTCTCATCACTGATGTTTCTATCTCTCTCTCTCCCTCTCCCTTCCTCTCTCTGAAACCAATAAAGATATATTAAAAAAAGAATCAACTAATGAATGCAAAAGTGGAATAAATCAATGATATTTTTCTCTCTCCCCTCTTCCTCTCTCTAAAATAAAAACAACAAAAACAACACCCACAAAACTTAATAGTAGCTACTTTTACAGTTTTTGGGAAAAAAAATAAATTAGCTAGATTAAGGCTATTTCAAAAACAACTATGTGGCACTTTGGAGATGGATCTGATCCTAAAACAAAGACATATTTCTATTTATTGACAAAGTTAATAACTGTAAGACAAAAATAAGCCTTACACTTTCAAATGATTTTTCTTCCCACTATCTCAAAATACTTTCACATAATAAATTATAGTTCCTCTTTAAGATCAGATATTACAATTCATTTAGCCAGTGAATAATTATCCAGTTGGTCTAGCCCAGTCATGAAGATAATAATAATGGCCTACGTACCAGTAAAGTTTTGCTTCAACTACATAAACTTAGGGTTGGCAAGAATTATAAAGAAAAAGGCACTAATGGCAAAATAAAAAAAAAGTTTATCCATTATTCTTGTTCTGGGAATCATTTTCAACATCTTAAAAGCTGCTTGTTACTATTTATTCCTTTGTAGCCCTCTTCCGTCCTTTTCAGTATTCCAGGACTTAACTGCTTGTCTCCAAAAACTACCAACTACGTATTTTGAAAGGTTTGCTTTTGAAACTTTTCTCAAGAAGTCAATAATTATTATACCAACCTCTTCCTGATGAATGGCTTAGAGTTATTTCAACTTCACCCCATAGTATATAATGTTATCTTAACCACTTTGAAATTTAACATGATCAAGAAAGGTCATCCAGATGATGACACCAGCTAACTCTCAGAAGGCACCCACCATGTAAATGGACACAATTATTAAAATACTTTATAATGGACCCTAGTAAAAAGATATACTATTGAGCAAACAGATTAGGTGGTCTGGTGCCAAAGTAGCAGATTTTTAGAAATCTTTTTATCCTAAATATCCATGTTTGACTTAATATCAGGGGAAAAGAAAAATGGAAGAGTCTCTAAGTCCATCCATTAATTTACTACTGGTCTCAAAATGAAGCAGAGTTTACTGACTGAGAGAAAATAAGAGAAGAGAAACAGATTTAGAAAATATTTAGGAAACAAATACACAGCGAACACGTGCCTATTCAATGCCTGACTCCTGTGTTTACTTAAGTTGTGACTAATGACATTTGTGTCACTCTTTTCCCTTTTGAAAATAAAAACACCTGCTCAATTTACCTTTCATGGGGAAATTTGGTGAGAATAATTAAAATAAAGTATCTTACTATTATTTTGGGCAGAGAAATTAATTTTTCTGCCTCAGAGTGTTATTTTAAACAGCACATGAACATTAGTTCCCTTTGTACTGAGTCCTGAGGATAAACCCATCTGGGCTTGTCTAAGGCTGAGCAGCATCATGGAAAAAATTCGAAGTCAAATGCTGACCACAGAAAACACTATTTCTGATTCCCTAAATTTAAATGAATGAAGTCCTAGCAGGACAGACTAACCACTACAGCGGACAGGTACACAGAAAAGGGAAACATTTCTAAGAAAAAATATCCTCAAACCAAGTCTTTCAGTAGTCTAAGCAACAATACTTTTCACTTACCATTCCATTTTTTTTATGATAATAGCTGAGTACTGGGAAGCGTCCTCCATGTCGAAACATAGCTACCTTCCGAAGAGCTTCATCATCAATGGATTTGGGTACTATGACAATTGGTGGGTAAGAAGGGCAGACTGCAAATTCCTTATTGACATAGCTTAATCTCCATTCACTGGTCTGAAAAACACAAAATACTTCAAAGCTAAGCAAGTATCTCAATGTCACAAAATAATCTGAAAAAATTTAAAGGACCTTAGAGATCAACTTTCATACAATGAAGAAACCATCTCAGGAATTTAATAGGATACCTAATCCCACACTTAAATACTTCCAGAGAAGACAAGCTCCATTCTTTAGTCAGCTTTCTGCAATGCTATGTATCCCCAGTTCCTAGAAAGTTTGTCCTCATATTTAGCAACATTTGTTGCTCTTTAACTTCCTCTATTGGTTTTTAGCATGATTTCAGTACAAGTTCCCTATTTCACATGGCATGCTATCAAATATGTGAAAGACAGTTGTTTCTCCCTTACTCTTCTATTCTCCAGGATAAATGTATTAAGTATATCTATGACTATCAAGGTCAACATCATCTCATCCATCCTTTTCTGGGCACCGTTTACTTTGTTAATGGTATTCTTAAAGTATAGCAACAGAAAGACTGTAATACTTCAGATAATGCTGCACCAGAACAGATGAGAATAGAACTACTACTTACTTCAAATCCTTTGTTCCTTTCTATTATTTAAAAAAGAAGAAAGCCCTGGCCAGTGTGGCTCAGTTGATTGAGTGTTGTCCCATGCACCAAATGGTCATAGGTTCTATCTCTGGTGAGTGCACATGCCTAGGTTGTGGACTCGATCCCCAGTAGGGGGCGTACAGGAGGCAGCCGATTGATGGTTCTCTTTCTCTCCCTCTCCCTTCTTCTCTCTCTCTAAAAAAAATCAATAAAAATAAAAAAGGAGAAAAATGTAGAAAGATTGATAACATCTTTCTTAAAAGAATAATGGCAATACTAAAAAAGGTTATACTTGGAAGTCAGTGAAATGATTTGTGTGGTGCAGCAGTTGAGCATCAGCCTAGGATCCAGGAGATCAGGGTTCGATTCCGGTCAGTGCACAAGCTGGGGTTGCGGGCTCATGTAGGAGGCAGCAGCCAATCAATGACTCATCACTGATGTTTCTATCTTTCCCTTCCTCTCTCTGAGATCAATAAAGATATATTTTTAAAAAAACCTAAAAGTGTAAAATATAAAGCTATCAAATGACAACTTATTTTACAAATGAAAACCACTTGAAGACTGTAAAAAGTTTTTACACTAAAATAAATAAAATTATGTATATGTAAATTTCAGTGTGTTTCTGTACATCAGAGTTGGCCTGACATGCTGGCCATGGGCTGCAGTGCCAGGGGGATAAAAATGAAGTTTATTGGATCTACTGTAGGACAGGAGTATTTTAAATCACGTTTACAAGATACAACATATTATTATTTTTATCTATTGATTCTAGAAAGAGAGAGGAAGGGGGAAGGCAGGGAGAAAGAGAGGGAGGGGGAGAGAGAGAGGAAAAAAAACATCGATTTGTTGTTCCACTTACTTATGCGGTTAGTGGCTGATTTTTGTATGTGCCCTCACCAGGGATCACACCTGCTACCTTAGAGTATCAGGATGATGCTCTAGCCAACTGAGCTACAAGGCCAGGGCCATGTTACCAATTTTAAAAAGACAGTTTCTAAAGGATTCATGATATAAAAGAAAGAAATGACCTATTCCGTTTACCCAATCTCCTAATTCCCTTCCAAAGAGTCAACAATTTTCAATTCTTATAGCTTTTGTGTGTGCGTATTTACCTCCAAATTTCTAAATAACGTGACTATACTGCTACTTCCTGAATTTTCGCTATTATATACTACTTACTGTTTTACTACTCGGGAGAATAATATGATTCTCCATTGATCCACAACGCCACTTCTGTCATATATCAAGTTTCCATACATATAGACTCTATTCTGCCCCACTGGTCTACTTGAAGTCCCACAGCTTTTAGAAGAAGCTTGATATTTAGTAGGCTAAGTCTCCTCCTCCCTTCTTTCTGTTCTTTAAGAGTATCTTGGCTCCTCTTGGTCCTTTGCCCTTTCATGAAACTATTATCAAATTGCATGTAAAAACTCATTGGGGTTTTAATAAGATTGTATTGACTTTATAGATGGATTTGAAGATGGTTACACCTTTTCAATATTCAATCTCCTTGTCCATGATCATAGTGCCCCCCACTTTTTAAAATTTTCTTCATTTTTTCAATAAAGTTTTATAAACTTCTCAATAAAGACCTTGCATATCTTTTCTTAGATATATTCCTAGGACCCTTACAGTTTTCTTCCATTTATGTTTTCAGAATTGAATTTGTTGTAGACAAATGCCTATAATCTCAAGATTCTTTCAGTTTCTTATGCAGATAAGTACATAATCAACACAGAATGGCAATTTTGCTTTCATTTCAATCCTTATACCTTATACTTTTCTTTCTTGACTTACTGAGCTGGCTGTAGTGATGGTGGGGCATTCTTGTCTCTTTAACTTAAAGGGAATGATACGAGATTTCCTTTTTGTATGTTTTTGGTTTCGGTAGTTACTCTGTATCAGATTAGACAAATTCCCTTCAAATCCAACTCTGCTAAAAGTTTTTATTATGAATAAATGTTTAATTTTATCAAAAATGTTTTCTCTTCTAATTTTGTTATACCACGTATGTAATTTGTCCTCTCTCTGGCTAATTTTTATATTCTCTTTGTCTTACTATTTGATAGCTGGACTCAACCCATCTAAGTAAAGATTACTTTTTTATTATCTTGCATGGTGTTTGCTGGGATACCTTAACCTAAGGGTTTGTGACTTTCATTAATTCTGGAAAATTCTCAACTATTTTCTATTTGAATGCTGCATTTCTTCCATTTTCTCTATTAAATCTTCTCTTGATTTCCCATTTAATAAATATTGGATCTTCTCCCTTCATCATCCATGAAAGTATCTAACTTCTCAATCATTTTTCTATTTTCCTTGTTTCTCTGTTCTGTATTCTGAGTATATGTATTCAGATATAAATTCCAGATCACTAATTCTTTCTTTGGTTGTTTCTAATCAGCTACTTAACCTTTACATTAAGTTATTTTATAGAGATTTTATTATTTATATGAAAAGATCCATTTCAAATCAAGACATTAAAAATGTCCTCATTAAATCTGGATTACAAAATTTGCAGGACAATATAACAAAAATTCAAATGTACAAATTGCTTAAATAAATAGCCAACCCAAAAAGGAGATGCCTATGAGTAAAAGTGTTGAATCTAAGCAAAAACAGATAAATAAATCAAACCACAAAAACATAGGGAGGATCCCTTAATAACACATGTGAAGAGATGGAGGAATTTTAGTTTATTTCATTAGTAATTTAATTCTCCAAAAGTCAGTGCAACTTTAGGCCACCTTAAAGTATTTGTAATAGTTCCAATCTATACTAAGTAAAATGGGTACCCTATTTTAAGAGATTCAGTGACAAACTGACTACCCTGCTAAGAAGAGAAACCAGGACAGGGTGGGCACTGAGTTCAGTGTTATGAGAAAAGGCATGCATAAGTCAAATGTACCTTATTACTCATTAAAAGGAAGTGATCATTTTCACAAGTAAATTAAGGTGTTGGGTTATCTTTCATTACCTATAGTTCTCTCAAAAGTTACTCACAGCTGAAGAGTAGAGTTCAAATTCTTGTTCAGGAAGGAAAGAATGCCAGCCATCTTCCATCACTTCAAACATGGGCCGATAAAAGAAAGGGTACATCAGGGTGATGGAGTCCAGGGTAGACAATGCCTAGGGGGTAAAAAGGAAATGAGGAAAGGAAAAAGGAACATACCACAATTTGATACACTTTCTAACTGCAAAATTGGTATTAAACAAATATGACCTACTAATGATGGGTGTATTTATCTAACATTGTGTTTATCACTAGATACAATTATAGCTTATTGAAGCTAATTTCCATGCTTCTGGCATCTAAGAAGGTATCTGGCACATAACATACACTCAATTAACATTTGCTGAATAAACAGAATTTAAAAATGTCCATATCTATTTTAGGAGAAAAATGAAATAACTCCTTCTTGACATCATGTAATAAAGCCTAATAAAACAGTTGAAATATTTTTGGGGGTCAGCGAACAAACAGGTTTTGGGAGTCAGTAAAGCCTTGGCTTAAAAATCTAGTTATCAACTATATAAACATTTTTAAATTATTTAGGATCAGCACCTGTTAGTAACTGTAAAATAAGGTGATACAGCTTAGTAGCCAAAGAGTCAGACAGGAGTCAGACTGCTGGACTCAAATTCCAGACCCCAGTGCAACAGTAATTAAGTTTTATAACCACTCTATGCCTCAGTTTCCTCAGCTATAAAATTGGAGAAATAACAGTGCCTGCCTCAATGGACGGTCAGGGGCATTGAGAGAATGTGTGTAATAGGCCTAGAGCAGTGCCTGGCCCATAATAAACTCTAAAATAATTTTAGCTATTACATGGTCCATATATTATATGTCCCATATATGCTTCATCAATGTCCAATCCCTACCTAGAGTGATATGCCATTTGGTCACATATCAGCATATCTTTATGCTACACTGACCCATTTTCAAACCAGGACAATAACTCTGCGGTCCCACAATGAGCCTATATTCATCTGCAGCACTTGAATTCTGGGTGACAAGACCAGAAAACCTGACTAGAGATGAGGAACAGGCAGACAGAACATCCTCCATCATGTGGCAGTTTCATCTTTCAGACAGGGGAATTATGGAAAGCACTTCTACGGCTGAACAAAAAAAGCACCAAAATCAATTAGCATAATTTAAACTGCAATAATTATGGAGACACACACCTGGAAGAAGGAAGAAGGCCCAACATTATGCTAATACCCCCAAACTCTAGGAATGAAGCTACTTCCTTTTAGGTCATAGAAAGATCCAACACAAAAGAATGGGCACATGACTCATTAAAAAATAGACTAAACATGTTGTTCAGCAGTTTAACAAAAACACCACCATCCAAAGTTATTCTTCTATCTGTCCATAAATCACAAAGCTTCTCTCCAAAGCTCATAAAACAGAAAATATGGAGAAGCATCGCTCACTAGTCCATTATCTACTTCTATATTGTCTTTGGCTGCCAGTCACACCAGAGAAGCCAGTGTCCACATCTGATGTACGCCACAGCTGTCATCAGTCAGTTCTAGCATTAATTAATTTTTTAAGATATTCCTTGCAAAATTTTGAAAAAAAATTCAGCTTTACTGAGATACAATTGATAAATAAAACTGGAAAATAAAGTGTATAACATAATACATACACACTGTAAAAGGATCCCTCTCCCCAATTGAGTTGACAACACTATCACCTCACATCACCTTTTGTTGTTGTCTTTAAGACCATTTAAGTTTGACTCTCTTAGCAAATTTCAGTTGAACAATACAGTGTCATCAACTACAGTCTCCATGTTATACATTAGGTCCACAGAACTTATTCATCTTATAGCTGAAGTTTGTAACTTTTGTCGTCTCCCTATTTCCTGCACACCCCAGCCCCTGGCAACTACTTTTCTACTCTATTTCTATGAGTCTGTCTTTACTTTTTAAGATTCCACATATATAAGTGATACCATGCCATATTTGTCTTTCTCTGTCTGGCTTATTTCACTTAGCATAATACCCTCCAGGTTCATCCATGTTGTCGCAAATAGCAGGATTACTTTATTTTTTAAGGCTGAATAATATTTCTCCCTCTCTCTCAATTTCTTTATCCATTCACCCATCAACACTTAGACTGTTTCCATACCTTGGCTATTATGAATAATACTGCTATGAACATGGAAGTACAGGTATCTCTTTGATTTTGTTTCCTTTAGTATATACTCAGAAATGGAATTGCTGGATCATATGGGTAGTTCTATTTTTAATTTCTTGAGGAAACTCCATACTGTTTTCCATTGTAGGTGGTACAACTATTATTTTAAATGTAAGTCAGCACCACTCTGGCAGGCAATAAGCACTTGTCATGATTACATTTTATGTCACGAGAGGTAGGACTTTTCCTTTAAATACATTAATGCTGGAAGCACTAAAAACATTTCAACCCTGAAAGGCAGTTGAAAGTACACAGAAAAAAGGTGCATCAGATTTCCTGCTACAATTTAGAAAACTGAGCATTTGCCAGTTATCCTTCCAATGGGATTCTATTTGTGGCAACAGGATATATTTGGGTATATGGACCCTTGATTACAAAGATAACTCAACTAGGCTCCATAAGAATTTCCCTTACTACTCCCAAGTTATGCCAAAATGTAATGGGGGAAGGGGAAGGAGAAGACAGTAAAAGGCCAGAGGACAAGTTCACTATGAGTATTTACTAAACGGTAAAAACAATAGAGCATTCACATTCTGACATCAAATTATGAGAGTGGCTCATAATTTATGGCTTCTTTTCAGCCCTAAGGGCTTCTATATAATCCGTCATTTTCTATAAAGTATTAGGTAGTATCTACAGCCAAGGAAACAACTGGTTAGTGTCAGATGCTAAGAGAGCTAAGTAAATGCAATCAGAAAGGGGAATAATGAGCCCCACCCTGTTTCTTCACCACTATGCTTCACCCTGGGCAACTTTACTAACACCCCCAAGCAGCTATCTTATAAGTTAGAAAAGGGGTAAGGAAAATGCAGACAGGTCAGTGGAAACCCAACCCCACAACTGAAAAACAACAAACAAACCACATGCTTAACTGCAGTGGGTCAGTAGCATTCCCCTGCCCAAATAACAGGACTATATTTCAGTTTAACAGCCTAGAAACCACTTGCATTTCTTAGTCATGTGAGGGAATTCAGCCAAATCAACATCACTGTGTTACTTCCAAATGACAGATACGTAAGACAGTTTGGCTCATCTTCTCATTTCCTTAAGTAAACTTTAGCAAAGAAGAAAAATGTTCCATACCAATTTTCGCAGTACCACAACAGTTGTTCCTTTATTTCTCTATTCTTGTTTAAAACAACAAAATCCTAGTTATAGATTTTTAAGCCTTTCTCCCCCTTTTAATAGCTAAGGCAATAGCATTTGCTTTAGACACAAAGCCCAGAATAGTCACTTAAGGACAGGAAAAAAAATCAGCATGTCTCTACAGTTATAGAGAAAATATTGTAAACATAAAGTTAATTGCTATAATTTAGTGGCAGTGATTCAAAATAATGCAATGTAAAATTTGAGTGTATTTAAATATCAAATTATCCAAGTACAAGTTCTATTATTTATTATCTGAACAGATATTTAATATTGTTTATATAAATCTAAAACACACATCCTATCTTAAGCAATTCTGATATATGGAAATTCAGATTTACTCAAAACACACAAAAGACAATAATCATTAGTGATAATTACTTGCTTTATAAAAGAAATAATTAAAAAAAAAGTCTCACCATATATATACATACAATGGAATATTATTCAGCCTTAAAAGGTAAGGAAATTCTGTTGTATGCTAAATATGGACGAACCTGGAAGAATAACCCTAAAAACTACTATGTGTCAATAAAATCCCACCAGATTCCTATAACAATGAATCAGGGCGAAGCTTTTCCTATCAGTCTTCAATATCTGAGTCACAAACCATGACCAAATAGCTAATGAAGAAACATAAGAGCTACAATGAGTCAGAATATAAGGCTCCTTTTTACTTCTGTTATTTTCATCCAAAATACTTACCTCAATGGAACTGGCTATATTCAAACATTCCTCCATTCCAGGAATATCCAACTGAATTATTCGAAAATCTTTGCATTTTATGATGATGGTACCCAGTGGTCCCACAAATCTGTAAAAAATTATAAATTATGCTTAGGAACATATATGTTTCTAACTTTAAGCATATGATTATTTCTGTGAAAAGAGAAAGTAGTTATAATCACCATCTATATTCAACTTTCTCCTCCCTAATTAGTCTAATTAAGAGAAAGTCAAGCCTGCATCATAAAAATGTGAGCCACAAAGTATTTAAAATATATATATTGAAAAATTTTCAAATATAAAGTAATTTATACTAGGCCAAATCATTTAACAAAGATTATTTGGGGCCTTCAAAGAATAGCAAAAAAAAAATCTGTATTAATATATTAAGTGTTTGTCATAGACAGACAACAGTATAGTGGTTACTAGAGGGAAGGGTGGGGAGTAGTAAAGGGTAAAGGTCGTCAAATATATGGTGATGGGAGAAGATACAACTTTAGGTGGTGGGCACACAATGCAATATACAGATAATGTATCATAGAATTGTACACTTAAAACCTATACAATTTTATTAACTAATGTTGCCCCAATAAATTTTATTTAAAAAAATATATTGTTTGTACAGAGCTATTTCTGAAGCATAGGAAAAGTTCATTTGAGATTTTACTTACTTTCAAGCTTGCAGCAGTTGATTTTAAATATAAGTATCTCTCTTTTTCAGTCTTTAAAAACGTAATTTGCAAACTCTATTCTAAATCAATGCCATATCCAATTATAAATTCTGTATCAGTAAATTCACAAATTTTGTACAAATTTAATCTTACCTTAGTTGGGCTTTTTATAAAAGCTAGTATTACTGTAACAGTGGTGTGTAACTGCACTTTTTGTTTTCTACATGATTTAACAGATTAATATGCTTAAACGAAAAACAATTAATGTAAAAGCTAATATTACTGTATTACTGTAACTTTGGTTTGTAACTTCAATTTTGCTTTCTACATAATTTAAGAGACTATTGCATTACATGGATTATTAGTTTATGTTTTGAGGTACACAATGTATAAAAATGTATTTTTGTAACATTAACAATGAAAAAGGGTGGGAACAGAGCTGTAAAGGAGTAGAGTTTTGCATGTTATAGAAGTTAAGCTGGTATAATTTCATATTAAAGTGTTATAACTTTAGGATGTTAAATGTAATCCCCATTGTAGTCACAAAGACAACAGCTACAGAATATACCCAAAAGTAAATGAGAAAGGAATTTAAACACTTCACTACAAAAAATCAACTATATACAAAAGACAGTAATTCAGGCAATGAGGGACAAAAAAGCTATAAGGCATACAGAAAACAACACATTAACAGAAGTCCCTCCTTATCAATACAGTACGTCCTACTTAATGTCATCAATAGGTTCTGTGACTTTAAGTAAAACAATGTGTAACAAAACCAATTTTACCATAGGCTAATTGATATAAACCAGAGTTGTGTTCCTATGGCATCTCATCAATGTTATAACAAAATGACACTGATCAAAATTATGTTATTCAAGGACTTGTGATAGGTACTTCAAATGTAAATGGGTTAAACTCTACAATTAAAACACAAAGATTGGTAGAATGGTTAAGCACACATGATCCAACTATATGCTGTCTTATAAGAGTCTCAGATGAGATCCAAAGACAGACAGGTTGAAAGTGAAAGGATAGCATAAGATACTATATGTAAATAGTAACCAAAAGATGGCAGGGGAGGCTATACTAATATCAGACAAAACAAACTTTAAATAAAAAATGGTAACAAGAGACAAAGAAGGGCATTATATGTTAATAAAATGTTCAACACAGTAAGAAGATATAACAGTTATAAACATTTACACACCTAATGACAATCAAAATATATGAAGCAAAAACGGACAGGATTGAAGGGAGAAATAGAAAGTTCTATAATAATAGTTGGAAACTTTAATATCCCACTCACAATAATGGACAGAACCACCAGACAGAAGATAAGTAAGGAAATAAAGGACTTAAACAACACTATATGAAATACATAGACATATACACGCTACCCAACATCAACAGTATGCACATTCTTCTTAACTGTACATGGGACATCTTCCAAGATATGGACCATATGTTACGGCTCAAATCAAGTCTAATAGATTTAAAAAGACGTATCATACAAGGTACAGGCATACCTTGGAGATACTGTGGGTTTGGTTCCAAACCACCATAATAAAGTGAGCACAGGCACACCTCGGAGATATTTCAATTTTGGTTCCAGGCCAAATAATAAAGCAAGTATTGCAATAAAGGAAGTTGTAATCCAACTGTGAAGCACAATAAAACAAGGTTTGCCTGTATCTTCTGTGACCACAGTGGGATAAAGTTAGAAATCAGTAACAAAAGGAAGACTGGGAAATTCACAAAATTGTGAATACACTTTTAAACAACCAATAAATTGAAGAAGTCGCAAGGGAAATCAGGAAATACTTGGAGACAAATGAATGAAAACAAAAACATATTACAAAACTTATGGGACACAGTGAAGGCTGTATATACTACATATACATATATATAAAACTACCTGATATATGATAAATCAGTCAAGGATGGGTTGTTAGATGATGGTTTAGGAAAACAGACTTGCTACATGCAGAAAAATAAAGTTGGATTCTTATTACAATTGAAACAAATGTAGAATCCAAACAATTTAAAGTTCTAAAAGTGAATGCTAAAACTATAAAGTTAATATGGAAGAAAAGGTAGGAGAATATCTAGTGACTTTGGGATAAGGAAGGGCTTCTTAATTAAGACTTAAAAAACAATCCATAAAGTAAAAGATTGACAAATTTTGCATTAAAATTAAAAACTTCTGTTCAACAAAGGATACCACAAGAAAGTTAACAAACGGGTGAGACTAAGAGAAGACATTTACAATATCTAAGTGAAGAATTACTATCTAGAGAGTATGCCAGGAACTGGCACAAATCAACACAAGAAACTGTTAACCCAGTTTCTCACAGAAAGGAAAAAATGTAACTGAATTACTAACAAGTATATAAAGAAATACTTAAACTCACCAGTAATTAGAGAAATACAAATTAAAACAAAGAGATATATTTCACAATCATCAGAGTGGCAAAAATTAGAAAGACAATAATACCAAACATTGGTAAGAATGTGGGAGGGCAAAGTAGAATAGTAATTTTGGAGAGCTACCTAGCATTACTTTGTGAAATGAATTATGCATCTACTTTCTGGCTCCATCCCATTCTAGGCACAATCTAGGAGAAACTCTTGCACAAGACTACATTGGGACCCGAATGAGTACGTTTATCAGAGATGTTTGTGATAACAGGGAACTGGAGGTTATCTAAAGGGTCACACAAATGTTAGAGACACTTTGGAATTTTATGCTACAGCGAAAAGCAGTGAAATGGATGTCCATAGAGCAATATGAAGAAATCTTGAAAAAGAGTACTGAGTTAAAATTTTGAGAAATATAACAAGATCTACAACATGATCCTACTCAGTAAATTAAACTCACACGTGCATGTGTGCACACACCCACACACAACAGTGCTATATATTTTATAGGGATATGCATATATCCAAGGACAAGCAGCAACACTTAACATAGCTACCCATAGAGATTGAGGATGACATGAAAAATGTGAGTAAAAATTAGGGCTAAAGAATAAAGCACTGAGAAAAACTTGTAATGAATCAATCATGGAAATGATGAGTCATCAACTGAGTAGGATGAACTCAACTCTGTATCTGAGGTCCATAAAAAGAAAAAACAAGAACAACTGTAAAACCTGTGTACAGCCTTGTCTACTGAAAGGATCAAACAAAATTATGCATGTAGTGTGCATGAAAGTCTTTTATAAGCTTGGAAAACATTACTCAAATGTAAATTTCTACTGGATTTGAGAGGGGTTGTCTTTCTCTTATGTGAGAGAACTCAGGTTCACAGAGGTGAAGTAGCTTGTCCAAGGGCACCTATCTAATAAGAGGCAAACTGAGTCACCCTTAATACTGCTCTTCCTCTCACACCCCATTTACAATCACCAGCAAGGCATGGCAGCTCAGTCTTTGAAATACATCCCACATCTGACTACTCCTCCACTACTTCCACTCTAAGTCACCATCACCTTTTACCTTAACTACTCAACAGTCTCCTAACTGGGCCTGCTGCTTACATTCCTGCTTCTCTAGAATCCATTTTCTGCCGGCAGCCAGAATCATCTTCTGCTACTTCCTTGCTTTCAGCTCTTTAAGGGCTTCCTATGAAAACCATAACAATGACATATAATGCCCTACACAATCTGGCCCCTGCTTATCCCTCCAACCACAGTTTCTGCTGTCCCCCTAGTCTCTACCCCTTGCTCACTGCCCTCCAGCCACACTGGCCTCTGTTTTTCTTGTACATGCCGGCTTGTTCCTGTCTCAGGTCTTTGTAGTCACTGTTCCCTGGCTGAAATGCTCTTTCCTCTGATATTCACGTTGCTAACTTCCTCCCTTCGTTCAGATGTCATTCATTCAAAAGTCACTCATCTTCCTTTATTTTCCCTCCTGGCACTTATTACCTGACATTGTTATATATTTACTTGTTGTCTTATCTGAATGTCCATCTCCTCCACTAGTACATAAGCTCCTCATCCGTCTTAGTCACCACTGCATCTGCAGAGCCTGACAGTGCTCAGTACATAGAAGACACATGGAAGCGAATATTTCTTGAAAGCATCAATCAACCTCTGATCTGACCACGTAGCTCATGCTTTTTCCATTACATCATGTTGCTCCCCAGGAAAAGGACAAACGTGTGTAGAGTTTGTCATTTATCCCCTAACATGTTAAAAGGCCCATGTCCTATATATTTACCTTAAGCCCTACCAGACCCATGAAGGCGTGAAAAGCAACCATAAAAGGAGGTAAATCCAGAAAGAAAAGAGAGTTGATGGCATGGAGAAACTAACTTTTATTCAATGGCACTACTGGCCATTCCTTTTTTTATTTCCTATGTGCCTATCTGCCCAAGCCATAGTTAGGAATTCTGAAGGAGATAAAAATTAATGAAATGGGAATCCTGGCTTCAAGGGACTAACACGTGTAACTATCCAAATACAAATTTTAATATACACTTATGAAAGAGGTATAATTAAAGAGCTATAGGATTTCAAGGTGAGGGGAATTACTTGTAGTTGTGGGACTAACAGCAGAATCTGTGAAAAATATGGCAGTTGAAATGGTTAAACTGAATACCGATAATGGGTAACAATTGGATGATAGCCTATGAACTCCAGAAAGAACTGTATTTTATTCACCTTGGTGTCCTTAATGCCTCACAAATATCTGCAATATAATGACACTCAAAAAATGTTTTCAAGAAACTTGGGAGAAGGAGGGCACTCCCCCTACTTTCTTCAGTGTCAGTATAATACAGACATGAGCCCTGGCCAGTGTGGCTCAGTTGGTTGGAGCATCATCCTGTACACTGAAAGGCTGTGGGTTCAATTCCCGGTCAGGGCAAATATCTTGGTTTCAGGTTCGATCCCTGGTTGGGGCATGTACGGGAGGCAACTGATCGATGTTTCACTCTCACATCAATGTTTCTCTCTCTCTCTCCCTCCCCACCTCTCTAAAATCAATAAACATATCCTTGGGTGAGGATTAAATATGCATACACACACACACACACACACACACACACACACACACGAGAGAGAATGCAGGACGTGGATGAGCAAAAATAAAGGGTAAGGACTAGCTAGTAAAAAAAGCTTATGAAAGGGAATGACAAGAACTAAGGTGGGAAAAGTAGGTTGGTGAGAGAACAACATGGAGCACCATGAATGACAGACTAAAGGGTTTAGACTTCATTGTGCAGGCAAGGAGAGAACACTGAAAACTCTTACCCAGGATGTGATGTGGAGTCTAATAGAAGCCCTCTGTTTGAAAAAATAAATCTATTACCACTTCACCCATACTGTTTCAAATTCTACCATTAGAAATTATTTTCTTTTAAGGCATAACTTCTCTAGGAATTTTCTTAATATCCAAATTCTCTTGAGAGGTAATAAAAAAAGCTATTGTCATTCATTTATATTTTAGTGTAAACTGGATAATCAATTTACTTTCTCCTGGCTAGAGTAAGTACATAGCCATTGGGGAAATGGGAGTTTTGACTGCAGATGGAAGTATAACTTTTTTGACCCTGAGACACTACCTTGGAAAGACAGAGTCCAGGTGCAAAAAAAAGAGAATGAATTAATGCCTTTGCTTAAGTGCCAACTCTGTCCTTTCCAAAAGCCAAACTGAGTAACGAGAAATAAAAGACATTATAATCTCTCATAGTGGGAAGTATTAAATGGATGACACAAAAGGTAGGAAATAAGGAGAAGTGTGATCAACTGGACATTTTTGAAGGGAGGGGGTAAGGTTTTGAGGAATTTAGACACTACAGACTGAGTTGAGTTGGCAAATTAAAGACTTTACCTAAATAACATTGAATCGCAACTTCATGAACTGTGATGCACAGTTATTACTCAAGGTCTCTGATGGTGCAAGGCTAAGAAATTTAAAAAGAAAAATCCACTGAACTAGTGTTATCTACCAAAAATGATAATCAGGATGATAAACAACCATGGGATAAGCTTGGGAATTCCATCCAGATTTCACAGAAACCAGGGATCTCAAATAGATGGTTTTCTGCTAAAACTCAAATCCTCAATCTAGGCCAGATAGGGCTCATTCTGCCGGCCGGTTTGGATGCAAGGAAAACAGCGGGACGCGTTTCCTTAGAGGTCCACCTCAGGACCCCAGGTTCCCTGCGGAATAGGGGTGGGGTGAGCACTCACCGCTTGTCGATGGCGTCGATGTTTGAATGGAGGAGCCACAACTCCTCCGTGTTGTCCTGCCGGGAGGACAGGATCAGATGGTGGCCAGTCAGACACAAGGTCCCCTCAACGGCCGGATAGAAAGGCCGGTGAAGCATCACATTGTCCACTCGTGGGGTCTTAATCAGCTCTGCAAACTCCATGGTCCCCGGCGGCCGCGGCCAGAGGACCGCAGCGTCCAGGAGCTGGAAGGCGGTTACAGCACCGCACGGCTGAAGACAATGACCCCGCGCAGGGCTGGCCCGAGGGGCGGGGTCCGGGGCGGGGAGACCGGGCCCCGCCCCAGGCCAGGGTGGGCTCGGCGAGGCCTGCGGCCACTGGCACTGGCTGCAGGAGGTCCTGGATCGGCCAGGCCGGGGCGGTTCTCTTCACCTCCCGGTCCTCCGCAGACGCCGGATGAGGCCAGAGAGAGCGCTCCGAGACAGACCCAGCAGCCGCCGCCGCAACCTGGGGATCTGGCCTGGACCAGCCAGCTGAGGGGAGAAGGAGGAAGCGGTTTTAGGGCCAGTTTCCAAGTCCCAGCCACTAGGGAGTCCTGGCGGAAGTAGCTGCTCCCAGCCGGACCTAGAGCAGCTTCGGGCGGAAGCGACCGAGCTCGAAACTCTGAAGACAGGAAGTCAGAGCCGGAAGTTGGTCCACCTGGGTCCAATGAGAATGCCTCCGGAAGCACAGCCCAAGTCGAAGATTTGCGTTCCTACCGGGAGAAGGCTCCTGTTTACCTTCATAGCCACTCGTGTACCCCTCACACCCTTGAAATATTCCGTGTCTGAAAAGGCCGGAGAAGACGGGAGGACGAGAAGAGGTCCTTGACCTCCCTCCCTCAACCTGAGGAGTAAGCCCTCCAAGGCTCTTCAGAGCGTGGGGCTGCCATCGACTGTGGCGATTTTCATCCATTTGCCGTGAAGAGATTACAAGTGTGCGATCGAATCAGTGGCTGTGGCCCCGGAGAGGACGCTGCAGGTCCCAGCGAGCGCCGCGCCAAGGTGCTGTGACCTTGAACAAGAAAAGCACCCAAAGACCTATGGGAGGGACCTAGGTATAAATACATACAATGCGCAGAAGAGGAGGTAGTCCTATCTTGTGAGGACTTGCTAAAACAGTTAATTTGTAGCACAGGCTGGACTTCCATTTAGATCTGTGAGACCCAAGGCATTGGGGCTCTGGTCACCGCCGCACAGCTTCCCCATTCGATACAATCCTACCGAACTACTCCCAGACACCTAAATTATGCCGTAAAGTTACTTAAATAATGTTTCCTTTCTTGGTGCTTCCCTCCCCTTTTAAACTGGCACTTTTCATTCTAAAATAGGGAATTAGAGGTGAACTATGCAAGGATTTGAGTCCTGATCTACTGTCACTTCATTAACTTTTGAAATCCTCACCATGCAGTACAAGGAGTTGGCTAAAGTCTCGCAGCAAAGACAAATTGCCTCACATCTCATCAGATTATCCAACCCGTGTTTCTGCTTCTGTCCTTGCCCTTCTGAAAACGTTCAGTTGTTGGAACACTTACAAGATTGTTACAGCTGAGAGTCCAGTTTTATTTTATTTGTCTGCAAAAGAAAGACTGTAACCGACAGAGAAGGGGGAATAAGGGAAAATGACTTATAAAGTTATTTTCTTAATTGGAATTTTTGTTGTCCTTCCACTATATGGTTCATTATAACAATTACCAATTGTGGAAGGAAAAATTTATTCCAGAATGAAGAATCAGGGAAAGTTTTATGGAAAAGTTATCATTTGAAAGGAGGACCTTGAAGGATAAGTAAGATTTGTACCCTAAATGGAGTGTAACCAAGATAGATGTCCAGTTTAATGATGTCTACTAGAGGTAAGGAAAAATTCTTCAGAAATTACTACATTTTTCTTTTAGTTATTTTTGGGGGGGAGGGGGAGAGCCTATGAAAAGACCATTGTGCCATTAAATTTTAAAATGTTTTTAATATTCCATAAAGGCATAAATTCTTTTTACCTGGGAGAGAAGACTGTCAGTATCATGCTGTATTGTTATTAAAACTATTAGAAAATTACGTTTACCCTGGATTGAAGCTTAAAGCATAGAAAGCCCTTAAGGTCTGAAGAAAACAAACATTGAATAGTAAATAGAGGTAGTGGGGCGCACAATATGTTAACTTACTGCATGAACAGTAGATGGCAGTAAAGTTTGCCAGTAATGAGACAGGCTTCCATTCTATTAAAAATTATTCAACGAAACTATAGCCAAACAAGTTATTATACAAACTGCCTGGATATAAGGGTCTCAGAGGATTCTGATGAACCAAAGAAGATGATGGCATTTATAATGCATGTAAAACACTCAACACCTTACCAATGTTAATATTTTTATCATTTTATGAGATAATAAGTGACATTGATATGTAATCATCTAGATGTTATTCTATCAAATAGTCAATTAGCATGTATTAAGTGCCTACTTGGTCAACAGCACTGTGGGAAGGAAACAATAGATTTGACATGGCTTTTGCCCTCAAAGTAATAGCTAATTTGGGAAGGCCAACACACTGCACACAACTAAGGAAAATAATAAGAAAGTGCTACATTTTGAAGTACTGATTTACTTTCCTGGTTTTGTGTTTCTCTACTTGGCCTTGAGTAGTCAGTAGAAATTGAGGCAGTTTGAAGGTAGTTTGAAAATAACAGGTCAAAACTGCCAAAAGTAGCAGGAGCATCTGTGGTGGAGAAGAGCCTGCCTATGTGTACCGTTGACGAGCGGCTGTTGTCCATGTGCTTTGTTATTATATGTGGGCTGTAGGCAGCTGAAATGAACCTGATAACTTCATGCCCCGTCTTTCTTGTGTTCTTCGTTCCCTTCATTCCCCAAGCAAATCCATCACCAAATTGTAGGTCGTGCCTTCTAATAGCTCTTGAGTTCCCCCACTTTCTTCATCTGCAAGGCCACCTAGTTCAGGCCACTATCATTTCTTACCTACTGTTTCTTAACAGAAAAAGTCTCTTAGTTGGTCTCCTTTATTCTAGTGGGGTTCTGCTCCAACCCATTTTTCCACTTGCCAGCTAAAGCCCTCTTTGCTGTTCTGAATTTCTTTTTCTTTTCTTCACTTGTAAGTCCCTTTGTGATATAGCCCCTTAGGCCAGGGGTGGGGAACCTTTTTTCTGCCAAGGGCCATTTGGATATTTATAACACTGTCCACGGACCCTACAAAATTATCAACTTAAAAATTAGCTATGAAAAAAGCTCCTAGGTTTATTTATTGAATTTTGAGTCCTGCCTGTGGCTGCCTTTACAGGGCCAGATCAAATGATTTGGAGGGCCAGGCATTCCCCACCCCTGCCTCAGGCAGTTATCAGCATTGCAAATCTCATCTCTCCTATTCTCTGTCTCTACCCAGTGCAACAGCCCCCAACCCCCATTCCTTGCAATTTAATGCCAGCTATTTTTAAATAGCTTGCAGATTCCTCTTGAGATTTTTGCGCCCAGTTAAAACCTTGCTACTGAGTGGAAGTGTAGAACAGCTAACCAGCATCATCAGCATTCCCTGGAAACTTTGTTAGAAATGTTCCACTCCAGAGCTACTGAATCAGAATCTGTACAAGAGTCCTAGATGATTTTTATGCATGTGAAAGCTTGAGAAATCACTGTTTAAAGAATCTGGGTGTTCTTTCTACCTGGTATATACTCATCTCACTCATGATACCTTGTCCCTTGACCTGCTAATTCCTATCATCCTTCAGATCTCATGTCAGATGTCACTGCCTCTGGGTAGCCTTCCCTGATTTCCCCCTCCAAAACTATGGGCACCACAGCAGTGTGATAAATGCTTTACATGTATTGGCTTATGTATTCCTTTCACGATTTTTTGAGGTTGGTTATTATACTCCTTTTACCTCTGAGGAAACTGAGGCACGGTGATCTTAGTAACTTTCCCAAGGTCAGAGAGTGATAAGTGCTATAATCAGGATTCAGACCCAGGCCGGTGGGAACAGACTCTGTGCTCCTCACCACCATGCTACATCACCACCTATGAGACCTTAGCCCACCTTGGTTACTCTCTCTGATTTTACCTCTTAAAAACTGTACTGAAATAGACTTCATATCTGTCTATGACATTCCGCTAGATAGTAATCTCCTTGAGAGCAGGGACCATTTCTTCATTGCATTATGCCCAGAATCTTAGCTTAGTGCCTGTACATAGTAGCCACACAATGTATATTTGTTGACTAGAGACCTTGTATTTTACTTAATATATTCCACCCTGATCTCTCCTCTCCCACACCCCAATCTGAGCGACTTTAGATATTACTGCCAATGTGTACAGCAGCATTTTGGTGAGAGTAAGAGGAAGGCAGTGCTATATTGGTCCCACCTCACAGATGAGGAAATTAAAGCAGATAAAAAACTTGTCGGTGGTGATGATATTGATAATCTCTTGTTTGGTTACTGTTTTACAATTCATAAAATGTTTTCAACTATACTATCACATATGGGGGCTCTCAATGACCTGGTGAAGTAGATATGAGAGGTATTGTTTGCAGCTCAGAGAAGAGGAACTGAGGCTCAAAGGGATGGTGATGTCCTTTCAATAACAAAACCAAGCTGTGAGGTACAAACTCTCATGCATCTAAAACCCAGATCCTTGCCATCATGTTAATTTAAGTTAGACTTATTTTGCACAGCTTTTGTCTATTAAGGTTTTGAACTGTGAGTGTTGGGAGAAGACAACCATTCTTTTAAGCAAAGGAGGGCTGAGCTTTCATCGGACACAGCAACAAAGGGGAAGCTCTGAGGACAATAGGATGGAAGGGTCGATGTTCAGACACTACATCCTAATAGCCACATCCTCTGTGTCTGCTTCCTGTGTCTCAATCACTGAGCCACTTCATTCTTTGAGACTAATCAGAAGAACAGGAACCTAACACTTTAGATGAAAGTGGTAAATAGAAGGAAGAGGGACTATTGCTACTGTGCATAAAATAAGTCAGTCCAACCGTATTTGCTTCTAACAACATCCAGCAGGTGGTAGCTGGAATTGTGGAAGGAGGAGAGGCTGAAACACCTAGAGACTACTCAGGCACCTCTTTCTGCAGTCTCAGGGCCTCTGCCCATGGTCTCTTTGGGAGTTAATCTGGTATTCCTGTAGTACTCTGGCCTGAGGGAAGTTGGGCTGCATACACGGCAGCTGAGGGAGTCAAAGATGAGAATTCCTGCCCTGGCTGGTGTGGTTTAGTTGGTTGAGCATTGTCCTGTGCACCGAAGGGTTGCTGGTTCGATTCCTGGTCAGGGCACATGCCCAGGTTGCAGGTTTGGTCCCAGTTGAGTTGTATGCAGGAAGTAACCGATCTCTCTCTCCCTGTCCCTCCCTCTCTCTCTCTCTTTCTCTTCCTCTCCCCCATTCCTCTCTCTTAAAAAAAATCAATAAAAACATTTTTTAAAAAAAAAGAAGAGTGAGTATTCCCAAGAACATAGCAGAAGCTGCATCAACTTTTATGACCTGTGCTCCAATGACACATAATGTCACTTCCACTGCCCTTTATTGATCTTAAACAGTTACAAAACCCCGCTCAGTTTCCAGGAGAGAGGACATAGACTCCATCTCTCGATAGGACCAGTGTCAAAGAATATATGCCACAGGAATGAAGCTGGCAGTGGGAAGCACACACGTATGAACTCAACTCCCTCTGTACACACTGGCAGCTGGAAAGAGGAGTACAGCGAATATTCTGAAAGTCAGCTCACTCTTTTGATCAAAGTGCTTTCCTGCTCATAGCCATAATAAAGTGAACTAAGAATATATAATTACAATTCATTAGATACAATTAAAAAATAAAGAGGCACATCTGAAAAAGGATAATTAAGAAATAGAAAAATTTACTAGGTTGGAACGTTAACAGTGCTAATCCAGTGATTACTGTTGGAGTTTATTTCATTGTCACCGAACCTACCTCAGGTTCAGTGTCCAGTACAGTTGGGAAGCAAATGTCTGCTTTCCTTCCTTTTAGACACACTCCCTAGATTTCCATTTCTTCTTTCTCCACATTATTTAGGGGAAGCTTTATACATAATTTTCAATGTGACATACCGTTTTGTTTTCAATTCTTTACTTTGTCCAATAGACCACAACACTGGTTCCAGTCTCCCCTCTTATGGCTCTCCTTACTTTATGTCCCTTGGCTTCCCTCTCCCCCACTGTCCTTTTCTTTCTCATCCTATTTGCCTTCCTCTTCTCCTATCTTTTTTCTCAGAGGTGACCACCTCAAGGGGACAGATATACAACAATCACCCCCACAAAATGAGGAAATGGGAGGAACAGCCAGGGGCTTTCACAAAGCCAGGGAAGTGAAACATTGCAAAACCTTGGTCAGTGTAAATGCGGTCAGGCCAGCTGTGCCTGTCAGCTGGCGATTATCCAGATTAGGTCTCTGTCCTCCCACGGGCTGGGAGACGAGGCCCTATCCTTCCTGTGGGTTGCATTTCAAGGAATGGCTTTGAGGTCCTTAAGAAAGACATTCTTGAGTTGTAGGAGGTGTACGTACATCTCAAAGGACAGAGGAAGGACTCACAATTCACAATAGTCTCCCCAACCCCTTATCTATGAGGGATACGTCTCAGAGCCCCCAGTGGATGCCTAAAACCACAGATAGTACAGAGCCCTATGTAGTATGTTTTTTCCTATACATTCATACCTATGATGAAGTCTAATTTATAAATTAGGCATAGGTAGAGATTAACAATAATAATACAATAAGACAATTATAACAACCTACGGTAATAAAAGTTTTGTCAATGTGGCCTCTCTTCCTCAAAACACCTTACTGTACTGTACTCACCCTTCTTTTTGTGAATATGTGAGATGA